CATTCCTGCCCCACCCTACATGTACAGCTTCATACCAGCTCTCCTGGATCCTCCTCAACACTGCACAGGGATTCAAATGACAAAGGGTCACCTGCATTCCATGTTTTCTCTGCATGGCTTTTGTTTCTTTTCCTGCAGACACAAGCAGTTCAGCAGTTATTGTTCCCCATGTGATCCCCCTCCCAACCAAGGGGGTTGTGGCCTTCCATCACCTGTAAGGTCCCACAGTGAGCCTGAGGTCACTGCCCACGCTGCCATCCACCCTCTGGCACTATTTTAGTGCAGTGCTGGTTCTCTGACAGAAAATTGTACTTGGGAGTAGGAGCCAGTAGCTTTTTCCTTTCCTGTTTGGGGTCTGGTCAACCCAGCTTCCCTGCTGTGCCTCATGTAACTTGGGGGTGTTGTGATTTCTTTCAGGGTACTGAAGATGAAAGATCCCCACTCATCAGGACATCTTAGTAGATTTTCTTTAACATGTGAGCTTGGAGAACAACCTAGTAGAGCTGACCTAATACCAACTACCACTACCCAGCGTTGTCCACTGTGGAGAAACAATCGTGCCAAGTGTAACTTTTGGTGGTGTAGAGATGGAAGAGAATCTGCACTGTCACCACTTACCAGCTAAGTTACAACTTCAAAACTACAGTTTAAAGCTGCTTGAGATGCTGCTTTTTCCAACCTTGCACTCTCTTTGCACCTGCACTGGCAGCCCTAGATGTTCATAACCACGATAGCAGCAGCAAGGAAGAGGCCTGATTCCCTGCAGGAAGGACAACAGGTCAGATTTGGAAGTGGCCTTCAGGAGTGTGGGCTGTGAAGCACCTTCTGGAAGCACAGCAGGCTCCTGTATGGCCCAGGAACAATGGGAAGCTTTGCTGTAGGCCTAGTGTTGGCTTATCTGCCCAGCATTGCCCTCTACTTCTTACCAGCGTGCACTGACTGCTCCTTAGTGATGCCCTTGGTCCTTTCACAGCACTGATTGGTACAACTAACCCAAAACCCTGAGTGAAACTTTAAGCATCTGTAGTTACGAGGTAAAAAGAAGTCCACAATTTGAAATGCTTTTCCTTACAGACATCTTAACTGTTCTAACTCTGCACAGCATCCCCATTGCATGTTAGCAGTGCATTTGTCCTTAAGGTTTGGGGGTTTTTCTTCAGTTTAAAAAACAAAACACAACCCAGTGTTGTTCTTGGTGGTGGAGGGTACAAAATGGTTCAGTGTGAATCCAGGCTTGGCTGTGCCTGTGTGAGTTAGAAGCACAACCTCCATGTAATGGGGTGAACGGGGCCATGAGAAGTCGTAACACTTTTTTTACTTGTCAAGCAGAAACTTGTTATAAAAATCACAAAACTACTTTTTTTTCCCCAATTAAAAGGATATTCTCCTTGAGAAGTGTTTCCATTGGATCTAGAGAGTGAAACCTATTTTTTAAATGTATTACTGTCTTCTAAATAGAGGCGTTGGTTTTTGAATTGCTTTGCTTTGGGTTTGGTTGTTTTTTTTTCGTAGCTGGTGATTTGTTCTGCAGTTTTGTTCATCTGGGGCCAGTTGTAACCAGAAAGTTTCACGGTGATTGCAGTTATTTATGAGCTGAAAGCAGCTGCCAGCGGTGCAGTTGCAGCTTTGCCTCCTTCAGAAGGGCAGCGCTGGTCTCCCACCTCGGCAGGAGGGCTCTGGCGGGACGTCTCCCTGCCTGTTGCCTTGAGAACTGCAAGCCCAGGGACGGAGAAACTCCTCACAGGTCTCTCTGCAGCCCGTCCTGCCAATGGAGCTGTTCGGGTGCCACCTCTCCGTTCACAACCTCTCTGTTCACCATCGCGGCCTGGAGCTGTCACCCCCGAAGTGTCGCTTTCTGTGTGGCTGGGCTGAAAGCAGCACTCTGTGGGAGCACCTGGGGACGCGTCTCCGCTCTCCTGCCGCACCTGCTGCCAGGGACACTGCTGGAATGACCAGCCACCCCCGGGGTGTCTCTCCCCGGGACAGAACCCGTCCCCGGGGCAGCCCAGCGGCTGTTCCCTCCT